CCCTTTACATTTGCTGTATAAATATTAGAACGAACTGTCATGTTTCACCAAAAGTGAAACAAAACAAAAGATGGGGGTTTTTAATTGGGCTTTTGCATTGATTTTGTAGATCAGTCAACACTTTTGAAATAATGAATCATGACCATGGTATAGCTCTCCATTTATTTAAATCATCTTTATTTTCTCTCAATAATGTTGATAGCTTTCTGTACTATAGAGGTCCTGAACATCTTTTGTTGGTTTTATTACCAGGCACTTGAACATTTTTTGACGTTTTTGTAAATGCTGTTAAAAAAAATTTTTTTTTAACTGTTGATGTTACATAGAAAATACAAATTAACTTTAAATTGCACTTGGAACCAGCAACATCTTACTTAACTGACTTTTAAATTCTAATAATTTAGAGTTTTTCTGAAAATAATCATCTAAAATAGGGAATTCCCTAGCCGTCCAGTGCTTAGGACCCTGCACTTTCACTGCCAAGGGCGCAGGTTCGATCCCTGTTTGGGGAACTAAAATCCCATAAACCGCGAGGCGCGGGCCAGAAAATAAATAAATAAATAAGTTTAGAAAAAGATCTAAAATACTATTTTCTTCCTTTCAAATCATTATATATTTTATTTATTTTTCTCGAGTTACTGTATCAGCGAGGATCTTCATTAAATTACTGTATAAATGGTGGCAACGTACATTCTTCTCAAATCGCAGACCAATTTCTGATTTCTTTCTTTCTACTTTTGCTAGTTTCACTTTGAGGGCGTGGTGTTGGGTGCATACAAATTTAGAATTGTTATGTTCCCCTAGTGAGCTGAATCTTTTTGGCATATTATGAACTGTCTGTCTTTATCTCTGGAATAAGAGAAACTACTTTGCGTAGTATTTTTAGCTACCTCTATTTTATGGTCAGCATTTGCATGATATCTTTTCCATTCTTTTCCTTTCAAATCCTCTCTATTTTTATCTTATAGATATATTTCCTGCAGACACCATCTAGTATGTTTTCAACCCTGCCTAACCATCTGTGTCTTTTAACTAGAACATTTAGTCAATTTACATTTTTAAGTAATTATTTGGAGTTTAATATACCATCTTGGTATTTGTCATGCCTGTTCTGTGTATCTCTTTCTCTTTTTTCTTTCCTCCTTCTGGATTGATTGTGTGTTTGCTGTTATTCCTTTTTTCCTCTCTGGTTTATTTGGGAAATTATAAACCTGTTTGCTGTTCTTCTAGTGGTTACCTTAGACAGCACAACATGCATCCTTGACTTATCAAAATCTAATGTAATTGCACTTATACTTTTATTCTCTTCCCAGACTATGCAAGGACATTTGGACTTTTACATCCATTTTCTTCCCCAACTGCTCTGCTATATTTTAATTCTGTATATATCTGAAGGTCTATAGATTTTATTACTGTTGTTTAATATTGTCAATATTTGTTTAAATTTACCATAGTTACAGTTTTTTCTTTCTCTTTATTCTTTCCTATAACTCTGACATTCCTTCTCCATAAAGAATATACTCTAGAATTTTTTTTGAGTCTGCTGGTGGTGAACTCTCAGTTTTTGTTTGTCTGAAAAAATCCTGAGGGATATTTTTACTGGGTGTGCAATAATTCCAGGTTGGCAGGGTTTTCTGGTGCTATTTTCCCCAACATATTAAAAGAATCATTCTGTGATCTGGCTTTCATCATTTCTGTTGATACACGTGTTATCTTTCTAACCACTGCTCCTGTGACGGTACTTTGTCCTTTTCCTTTGGTTGTTTTATCTGTTTTCTGATCATCTCTTAGTCTTTGGATTTCTGCTGTTTCACTGGATGCATCTAGAGATGTGCTTCTCTGTAGTATCCTGCTTGGGGCTTGAGCGGGACTTGGAGAATCTGTGAATTGATGTCGTATCAGTTTGGAACCCTCATGTTGATTGTTAGCTCTTTGACCATTATTCTGCCCCACGCTGTCTCTTTTTTTCTCTTTTCCTGTGGAGTGTCTTCTTACTGACTCATTTGAGTTTTTTATCTTCCTTTTGTATTTTTCCATCCTTTCATCTTTCTGGATTTTATTTATTACATTTTCTTTCCCGAAGGAATTATGATTTCTCCTGACCATGACAATTCAGTTTCTCTCTTTTGCTATATCTAATTTGCTAATAAATCTTATCTATTTAGTTCTTCATTCATTACTGTATATTTGAGCCCTGGAATTTCTATTTCATTTTTATTCAAAGATGGCAGTGTCTCTTTAAGGTTTCCAGTTTTCTGCTGAAATCTTTAACCTTGTGTTTTGTCATCTTGATCATAGAAAACCGTGTTGTTTTATAATTTGTGTGTGATGATTCTAATATTTGGAGCCCCCAGTACTTGTTTTTATTATCTGGGGGTTTTTTGGGGGGTGGGTGGGACTTTTTTTGCTTTTTATCTTTTTTTGCTGGTTTTAATATACATTGTCATGGCTCTTCACCCATTCAGTTATCTTTGATTGTATGCTGGGTGTTGGATAAGAAAAGCTGATTATGAAAAATAATTTGAGCTTTATGGGTAATCTTTCCCCAGAGATGATTTTTGTTTGCTTCTGCCATATGCCTCTGGGTTTTAGCAAACCAGGATGAATGTAATCCAATTCTAGGGGCTGGAATTTTCCAGGCTGTCCGACAACTTATAGTAGGGCTGCATTCTGAGACGGTTCACTCATACCTGTAGGGTGTCAAACAAAAGCACAGGAAGTATAATGGGGCCCCTGCTCCTGACAGGTCCAAACTCAGCCTGCCTAGCCTAGAACATTGCCAAAATCCCTGCTTCACACCTCATTTATCTCTTTTGGATTGGGAAATGCACATAGGGCAAAAGTGATTTCCAACTGCACCCGTTTCTCCTGGATCTTGGCCCAGTAATTTGTCATGATCATGTCAACCTTCCTCCTATGGGCTGATGCGAATTTAGTTTGGTTCCTTTTTCAGTTGGTCTTAAGAGGTTTGAGTTACCTAGTTCACCATTATGAGAAGCAGACGATTTCCATGTAATATACGAACTGGGGGACTTCCCTGGTGGTCCAGTGGTTTGGCCTCTGCCCTCTCACGGCTGAGGGCCCAGGTTCAATCTCTGTTGGGGAGCCAAGATTCCACGTGCCACATGCAGGGAGGCCAAAAAAAATAAAGAAAGAAAGAATTGGATCTAGTCTCTGCTCTTGAATTTACTAGTTTTTCTGATTTCAACAACTGACTGGTAGTCCATATGCCTGTTCCCTCAAATACAAGAAGGAGGATTTAGCAGATTGGCTCGGTGCCCAGGTAACTCGATTAACACGATTTAGTCTAAATCACTGAGTAGATTTTACGATGAGGAGGGCTCCCCTGGTTGCGCAGTGGTTGAGACTCCGCCTGCCGTAGCAGGGGACACGGGTTCGTGCCCCGGTCCGGGAGGATCCCACATGCCGCGGAGTGGCTGGGCCCGTGAGCCATGGCCACTGAGCCTGTGCGTCCGGAGCCTGTGCTCCACAACGGGAGAGGCGGCGGTGAGAGGCCCGCGTACCGCAAACAAAATAAAACAAAACGAAACAAACAAACAACAACAAAAAAAAGAGTAGCAGAAGGCAGTGACTGTGGCTTTTCTTGTTGTCCCTGTAGCTACAAGGACCTGGGATATGGCAGGTGCTAGTAAGTATCTTAAGAAAAAAAGAAGGAAGAAATGCTTGCCAACATGAGATTTGCTGAAATTTTGTTTTGTGCTGTGGAGTCACTCCCTATCAGGACAGACGTGATCGTTGGTCAGGCCAAGAACCCCCTTTTGCAGTCTTGGCTTGTCTGAGATCAGGGAGAAACAAGAAAACGACTGAGGTCAGTCTGGTTTGCAGAATCTTAGGAAACTTTATTAACCAGCCCACCAGCTTTATGGGAGCACAAAGATGCAGCATTTCACGCCCCCTTCCAAGGAGTGTACTAACAAAGGGTTAATCAGAGTGCATCCTCACCCCATCTCCCACCACAGTGTTGCATAAAGCCGTCCCATTACCGTAAAAACCTGTACCATACTATGGACGTCAAGAGCCTTTATCAGAAAACACGGCAGAAGCCGGTTAACAGTGAGATCTCTGCGCCACCTATTTGCTTAATAGTATCTCCTACGACATTTTTCTTTTTGTCATTTCTTGGCATCTTTCATGGTGAGACACCTACTGCTTGATGCCTTGTGATCCCACACGAACTCATATCAGGAAGGAAAAGGGAGAACAAAAAAAAGGGAGGGGTTAGGTTATCACCAGGTGGCTCTTTGATAGTTTGAAACCTGGAGGGCTGTAATGGGATACAAATCCTGCAGAACAGAGGCTCAGAGACATTGCCAAGGCAAGTCTGTCTTCATAATGCAGACCCTTAATTGGGGCGCTCTGCGGTATTTCAATTGAATATCTTTTTTTAAGCCTCCCTTCAACAATTAGGGTGTCTCTTTATTACGGCTTCCAAAAGATTATCTGTAAAACAGATGACAGAGTGACCGCGTCCCCCCCGGCGCTCAGGAAAGTAGAGCAACTTCATAGATTTCTACGTTGTCAAAAATCTACACATCTGATTTTTTCTTTCTTTTTTTAACTTGATGCATTCAAAAGAAATCACTGGATATTTTTAGCACAAAAAAAGAAGAGGGCTTCCCTGGTGGCGCAGTGGTTGGGGGTCCGCCTGCCGTGCAAGGGACGTGGGTTCGTGCCCCGGTCCGGGAATATCCCACATGCCGCGGAGCGGCTGGGCCCGTGAGCCACGGCCGCTGAGCCTGCGCGTCCGGAGTGCAGCGGGAGAGACAACAGCGAGAGGCCCACGTACCGCAGAAAAAAAAACAAAGAAGAACAGATATCCATTCCAAGTTAATGGGTGTAACCAGCCAACAGAACTGAGCTTACAAAGGAGATTAAAGATTCATTTTTGGATAGTAGTTATACTGGTAAAGATCTATGAAAATGGGCACCATTGAAAGGGCAGGTAAAATGCTCCAAGCTTGACCTTGTATTTCTAGTCTCTACGGGGAGGAAAGTCTGCCGAGGAACAGGATGTTAGTGGAGGGATTGTGCCGAATGAAGAAAATGAATGGGTGGTCGGCGGTGAAATACTCCTCTGTCAACAGCATGCAGTAGCTGACGGCGACCGAGGTGGCAGCCGCCGCCTCTGTGCCCTCCTCGTTCACCTCCACGAAGGACTTGTGGACCCCCTTCGATACAGAGAGGCCTCTGGCTCCTGATATGCCGGACAGGTCAGCCTCGCTACTGAAGAGCTCCTGCATACCCAGGGAGGCCAGCAGAGTGCTGAGCTCGTAGCTCCCCTCCAGCTTAAACCTGGGCAACTGGACATGGACCTCAAGGAGATCCAGATTCTCGGGTCTGGTCCACTCACGCAGCTTTTCGAAAGTCAGCTGTTGCTCAATCTGGATTCGGAACGGGTGAAAAGAAGAGATGAAATCATTTTATAGAAGGAAGTTAATGAAGCATGGTTTGAATGAACGGGCCCATCATACCAGCTGCTCCCTAGCGTCCTTCATGCTTTGTACCAGAACAGATTCCATTTGGAGGATTTCATTTCTTTCTGGCTCTTGGTGATAATGAACAGAGCTGCGTTCCAAGCCACCAAGGGCCCATCCACCCAGGACTTACCAGGCCCCTGCCACACTGGGTCACTGGCCATCCTGGCTAACATTACCCTAATTGGTCGAGTGATGCAAGAGGATACTTTAAAGCTTTCTTCCATTTATTTTATTCTGTTTATTCTGAATCCCAGTGATCACTGTGTTTATCTGTGAAGCTCACACAGCTGCAGTTATCTCTAATAGACTTAGCTCATTGGTAAACACAGAAATGGACCTAGTTCCTCAGCTAAAATGGGATAACAGTAGCACATACTTGGAGCACTGTAAGTGCTGAATGAGTCGCCCTATACACGTGCTGTGTAAGGTCAGCTACTGTCATTACTATTATCACTGCTACTGCACTGGAACAGAAGCACATTCCACTTTTCTCCTGATGCTGGTAATTCCAGACTTTCTTTTTTAAAATCAGGAACGGACAAATACGGAAATACAGTTGAAAGAAGGAACACAGTGGTTTTAACTTATGCTCTAGAGCTGCAGATGGCTAATATTAAACGCCATCCAACAGCAATTTGGGTCAGGGATGGGGGAGGGGAAAAGCACACAACAGGCCAGAGACACTGAAGAAAAACCTCCCTCTTCACAGTTTTGCCTCGTCCTGGCCCTGGCAAGAGATACCATTGCCTTTAAATTACGAATAAGAGAAACCGCAGACAAAGTTCAGCTGAGGCAGTGGGCTTATCTCTCAGACTAACAGGTCACATGGATCTTTTCCTGTCATGTAGCAACTGGACATTTAATGCACAATCTACGTGAACTGGGGTGAGAATGACCAGATTTTACAGCACAGGGCGAAACTATAATGGTCGAGGGTTTTTAATTACAAAAAACTGTTTTAATGAAACATCCCCATTTATGGCACATTCCTCTAAAGTTCATCTAAGGGAGTCTCCACGAGCTGCCACTGGCCAGCGTTACACTCGGTCTGTACCTTAGATGTTCCTGCCACGTTGTGTACTGATAGTAACTGAACATTTAAATGTGCGGCTTCCATAAATAGGAACGAAACAGAATTATTTGTAATGAGGTGGATGGACCTAGAGTCTGTCATACAGAGTGAAGTAAGTCAGACAGAGAAAAACAAATACCGTATGCTAAGGCCTGTGTATGGAATCTAAAAAAGCGGTACTGATGAACCTAGGAGCAGGGCAGGAAAAAAGACGCAGACCTACTAGAGAACAGACTTGAGGACACGGGGAGGGGGAAGGGTAAGCTGGGATGAAGTGAGAGAGTGGCATTTGGTGGCGTGGCATATACGCTACCAAATGTAAACTAGATAGCTAGTGGGAAGCAGCCTCATAGCACAGGGAGATCAGCTCGGTGCTGTGTGACCACCTAGAGGGGTGGGATGGGGGGGTGGAAGGGAGACGCAAGAGGGAGGGGATATGGGGATATACGTATGCATACAGCGGATTCACTTTGTTATACAGCAGCAACTAACACAACAATGTGAAGCAATTATACTGCAATAAAGTTATTAAAAAATGTACAATGAAAAATAAATTAAATAAAATTATATGCACAGGAAAAAAAAAGTTCTCATCACAAGAAAAAAAATTATAACTGTGTGGTGATGGACGTTAACTAGACTTATTATGGTGACCCTTTCACATTATATGCACTTACAGAATCATGATGCTGTACTCCTGAAACTAACATAATGTTACATGTCATTATACCTCAGTAATAAGTCTCTATAAACATAAATAAATAAATGTGGAGCTTCGCAGTGGTACATGCGGATGGGCTACTTTACAAAGGAGTGACAGATGACTGGGAAGGAACACCGGGTCACCTCTGTAAACAAAGAACAAGGACCTACGCCCGACACACACACACACACACACACACACACACACACACACACACACAGGGTCTGCACATCACTCGGGGTGGTGGGGGAGGCGCACCTTGCTCAGCCCCGTGGACTCGTCCTGGATGTCATCCGGCAGCAGGATGACCATGCTGAGGTCCTCGCCGTCGTAGGGCAGTTCCAGCACCCGGCACTTAAGGTCCTTGATGTGGCCAAGCAGAAATTTCTTCTTCTGATACATCATTTTCACTAGTTTTGTGTCTTTCTGAACAATTAAAACACAGATCACTAACACTGCTGTCAGCGTGGCTTCAGAGCACACAGTCATCTAGACGGTCACCTGCCCTCACCTTATTCAGTCTGAAAGCTGCATCTTTTGTGGCCTCCTTCATGAATTTCTCCTGCCAGTTTCCTTTGAAATAGATGGCATTCACCAGCACCAGCTTAGTCCTGCTTTCAACCACACCTGAATCCAACAGCTCTGGAATTTTCCCTAAAAAGACAAAGTTAGCTTTTTAAACATCCACCCATCAGAATTCCAAATTTGAACTGACCTTTGCTTAGCAGTGAAATGCAGCTCAGATGCTTCCTTCTATTTCATTTCCTTTAACGTGGCACTAAGTTAGCCACGCCCCCGGGCTGCTTCTGCTTTAAATAAACCAACTCGAGGGGCAGATCAGGGTGACACAAACTGCCCCCAAAGGGCCGATGCTTCAAAACAAGTCAATTGTTTAAAGGCTAAAACCAGGAAAATTCTTCTTTTCTGGAATGTGTGATAAGTAGTGGCCTCATTTTGTGACTGGCCATTCCTTTTCAGGAAAAGAAAATTTTCTTATCCAAAATGTTTTGTCACTAATAAATAACTCCCTTCTTCAAATCTTCCAACTGAGATGCCTAAGTCTCACAGGAAGCTTTAACAAATATCCAAAAGGTAGGACAGCTCCTCCCCTGAAACACAGGCCCCACTCATGATGTGGCATGGCCGTGACAGTCCCTTATGGAAGGAACACAGGTGTCCTGTGGTGCCTCAACCGTTCCGTGACTACGACAGAAACACAGCAGAAAAACAGCCTGAGGAGACTCAGTCCCACCTCCCGACCCTGGTTTCTTAGACAAGATGTTGGCAAAAAGTATTTATGACCACAGCGGCTTGTAAATATTGATTCACAAGATTTTCACCTCTTGTAGTCTACGTTCAATGTTAGTTTTCATTTTAAAATGTAGTTTGGGGAACTTATGGGTACAAAACATTTAGCATCTTCAGTTAAAACATGTTTACAGTTCCACTTTGAGGAATTCCTACATTTGAAAGCTGTCTGGGGACATGCCCCCGTGGTGCAGTGGTTAAGAATCCGCCTGCCAATGCAGGGGACTAAGGGTTCGAGCCCTGGTCAGGGAAGATTCCACATGCCACGGAGCAACTAAGCCCATGCACCACAACTACTGAGCCCAGGCGCCTAGAGCCCGAGCTCTGCAACAAGAGAAGCCACCGCAGTGAGAAGCCCACGCACTGCAACCAGAGTAGCCCCCGCTCGCTGCAACTAGAGAAAGCCTGCGTGCAGCAACGAAGACCCAACGCAGCCAAAAACAAATATATAAAACAAATTAATTTATTTAAAAAGGAAGGAGAGAAAGAAAGAAAGAAAGGAAGGAAGAAAGAAAGGTAGAAAGGAAGGAAGGAAGGAAGAAAGAAAGGAAGAATGGAAGAAAGAGAGGAAGAGAGAAAGAGAGAAGAGAAAGGGAGAAAGAGAAAAAGAGAGAAAGAGAGAAAGAAAGAAAGAAAGAAAGAATGAAGGCAAGCTGTCTGGCCCTGGGCAGTGCAAGGTGGACCCCAGGGCCAGGCTGAGGGGCTAGGGAAGGGGAGACAGAGTCACCAGCAAAGGGCAGGCGGGGGGAGGAAAGGAAGCCTCAGTGTGTACGACCAGGGCTGCCCTCGCTCACCTCCCGTCTGCCCTTTGACCCACTCGTTTATGGTCTTCCTTGTGTCTTCGGCGGCCTGCAGAAAATCCACACTGGCCAGTTCAGCACCGTACATTTTCTTAGTTGAAGCTAAGAACTCCTGTTTAAGGAAAAAAAAAGGAAAAGTGAGTATCTCCTACTCCATACAGAAATGGTTTTCTAAACTCCTTAAAAGCAACAGAAATTGTGCCAAAAGGCATATTCCATTGTAACAAAAAAATTTCTAAGCCTGCTACTTTTCTTAGTATAGTGAAAAACACACAGCATTCAAGAGACGACCTTAAGCACTTTTAAGCGTACAGTTCAGTAGTTTCGGTGTTGTATAAAATTTACCAATTCCTGGGGGCTTCCCTGGCGCTCCAGTGGTTAAGACTCTGTGCTTCCACCGCAGGGGGCAGGGCTTCAATCCCTGGTCAGGGAAGTAAGATCCCACAGGCCACGCGGCACAGCCCAAATAAAATAAAACAAAATTTACCAATTCTTTTCTACCCCTTGACTAACATTTTCATAAACAAGCAAATACTGATTGTACTTGAAAGTGAATTATGGAATTCACTCTTGCTTTAGCAAAACAGCCAGGGTCAATCTTTTCACTGTGGAGACTAGAAAATGAAATCACATCCATTTACGGGAATATGTCTGTCGTGTCTTCGTTCTGGATCACTTTTCTGAATGTCTGTAAAAACTAAAGCTGACTTCTGTGTCTCGATTGTGTTGGAAAAGAGTCTGCATTGTCTAGTGAGTTTTGGAACATGAAGAGCAAAGTACTTACAGGCAGGAAATCATAGCTTTTCTCTCCATATAACCTGTTAGCAACTTTCAGAATGTAGGGACTTCCATGTTTGTTGATATCAGCATTCAGACTCTGAAATCCTGAATGGATCTCCTCACCCCCTTCGAAATAGAGAGCCTAAAAGAAAGAAAACATTATTTCTATAACCATTTCTTTTGAAATTATAAGCTGGTTCCTTGGCATTTGCTTCCATCAAATTAAATTAATATTACTAATTTTCGATGATCCCCAGCCATCATCATTCTCCATTTTTCATTGGAGAACAGGTAATAGAAAATCCAAAATGTGTAGCTTGGTGCAACATCATAAGGACACGGGAAACTGTTTTCCCATCACGTTTTTGTTATAATTATGGTTCCACAAATAGGAGTGGTTAACAAGCTAAATATTTACACAAGTCTGCTTTTTTCCCCCAAAATCAGAAGTGGTAAGTTCATATGTATATTCTATACAAATATAATTGTACTGAAAGTTCTCAGAAATAAACAGTAAAAATAAGCATCATCAGCTATGTAAGAACACAGAGATAGTACAGATTGAGAGGTTTTTATTTTTACTTGCAGTACAGGCATCAGTAACTCACTTACTTAAAAATAATTTCCTTAAACTTAACACGGGGCAAAGCTGAATTCCCTTACATCAGTTCCATCTAGAGTCCCTTTATGGTTTTATGAGGCCTGGGCTGGTTCCTTGCTTTTAAGGCACAAGGAACGAACCGCCACCGGGTACAAAGGCCAGTTACTCACTGAGATATGGAATGTGTGTGGGGGTGCTGTGACGGATCTCTTTACTGGAAATGGGGGTAAAAACTTAAGACTGTTCTTTGCTGGCTTATAAAGTTCCTGGAAAGTCTGAAAACAGAAGCTTAGATTACCTTGCAGGTGATGACTAACAATGATTAGTACCGCGGGTTTTTTTTGAAGTGGATTTTTAAAAACTTTTAAATGCTTTTGTATCTGCGATGATGAAAAAGGTTGGTTTTTCCTCAAGTACAGAAATAGAAGCTCTGCAGCTGGAACAGGCCCATAAACGTGAATCCGGGCTGGACCTTCCCTGGCTCTAAGTGCAGCATGATCTGTGACCCCTGTGTTAGAAAGACCTTCACTTTCAGCCCTCTTTTCAAGGAAAGCCAGAGTTCCCCACTCAGCATACAGCACGCCCCGCACACAGGTGCCCTCCACACCCACCAAGGACAGGCAGGACCCTCAGCATCCCCGCCCCCTCTCCCTGCAGGGCCCTACTGCTCACACGGGAACGGGGGTCACAGCCCACCAGGGCACACCTGGTGCCAGGCCCAGGGGTAGGACCACGGAGACACAGGCTCTCGTGTCCCCTTGACTTCTCGACTAGCTGTCATTATGCTCAAAAGTATCAAGACGCAGCCGACATTATGTGAGTAGCTGAGCATCGCAGGCAAAGCGGAAACTGGACAGTGCCGGGCGGGGGAGGACGTGGCTTACAGGAAAGCCGTGCAGACTCGCTGCTGGAAAGGAAGCAGTGCCCGGCAGGGGCTTGTCAGCTTTCTTCCTGCTCCATCCTCAGTCCCACAAAACACAGAGCCTGGCACATCGCAGGTGCTCAGTAACGACTGGGTCATGAATGACAGCCTGCATCCCAGTGGAGTTTTCCTGGGGCTTTTTCTGAAAGTCTGACTTCATCAAGTATAATGTATGATATAACACACAACGCTGAGCACCGGAATGCAGTTTTCTACAAGCGCGCTGCAAGAGCTCAAAGGCACAACTTTCTGGTACGGTCTGTGTGGTAGGCACCAGCTGGGAAAGCTAGTTTCTGCTCACCTTGGACATCTGCGCTGCGGTATTGCCTCTGGCCCCCAGAAGGACCATGGCCAGGGCTGATGAAATGCTGAAGGGGGAGATGAAGATGTTGCCGGCAGGATCGCTCTTGTTCAGGGCGCAGAACAGGTCCAAGGCGAAGCGGGTGTTTGCTGCGCTCAACTGCTCCATGCTGAGGCTGCAACACAGAGCAGAGCCCTGAGCTGCCCCCCTGCCACACCAGCCAATCGGCAACGCCGCTTCCCCATCTCCTCCTCAACTCAGGCAACGAACTTGTACTTTCTCCCTCCCTCTCTGTCTCTCTCTGTTTCTCTCTGTCTGTCTCGCGCGCGGAGGGCAAGGACACTCCATGTGCACAACGGTGGGAGCTTGGGGCGACTGGACAAGGATTCAGCAGTGACATGGGATCAGGACTCCGTCTCCTAAAGGGCCCTGGCCGTGCAGACAGGTGCATCTGGGCCCTTCCCTACCACACGTGGGAGCGCACACTTCCCACCCTCCGTTCAAGTCTCTGATTCATTTGAGCCATGAATCCACTGCCCACTTTTACCTGAAAAAGAATGTTTCTATTAGAAAATCAGAGCTACCTGCTACTCATTAAAGCAAATTCCCGCAAAAGAGACAGAGGTATCCTCGTTTTTGAGATTCACTTGCTGGTGTTTAGAGAGGTCCCCAGTCTCACAGCTGCTGAAGGATATGAGAGTGGGAACCCAACACAGGCCCCGGGGTCAGGTCGGGCAGCCTGACTAGGAGCAGGTGACAAGTATCCTCTGTCACTCCCGCGGGCAGCGAGGGGCTGCAGGGGAAGCACCTGGCCTTGCGCTCAGCTCAGCCAAGCACTCTCCCCACCTGACCTCGACTCTCAGCCCACATACACTCGAGGAAGACGAACAGGCGTGCTGGCTGCCCAGCGTGTAAGTCCTAAGTTGAATGATTACTGTTGTTGCTGATAAATAATCTCTAGGGTCGCACTGGCCTCCCTTCCCCGCCTCCAGCCGCAGACAGGAGAAGCCGCTCCGCCGGGGCTGCCTGGAAACCGTCACAGAGCGAGAAACATTCTGGACTCCGGCTTCGGCTTCGGCTTCGGCTTCCGCCTTCAGGCCCCAGGGAGCGCCGTCCGTCCGCCGCAGGCCGCCCGGCCTAGCTCCCGGGACGCGGCGCCGGGGACCCCGGGTGGGGCGCACGGCCGGGCGGGGTGACCACCGGACGCGGGACCCCGCGGGGTGCTCGCGGATCGGAGCCTCTCCCGCCCGGCCCAGATCCCTGCCCGGCCTTACCCGCTGCGGGGCTGTCTGGGCGAGGTGCGTGGTCTGGGGAGAGCGCCGAGCGCGGCCCTTATAGGCGGGAGGGAGTGTCCCCGGCAGGCGGGGGCGGAGCGGGTGGGCGGGGCGGCCCTGCCCCAGGATGACGTACTGCCTAGGAGTCAGGGCTGCGGCTGGGCGGGGCACAGGGCGGGCCAGCGGGGCTCCACGCAGCGCGCTCCTGGGGGCCCAGCACCTCTCTGAGTTCCAGGCAAACTCAGCTCTCCGTAAAGGACCTGATGGGCTATTTCCTACTACGGTGTGAATGACTGAGATGACAATGTGCCACCTCTTAGAGGGCAAACCAGCCTCTTTGGAATCTTTTCCAAACACTCCAAACTCCGGGTTCCTGGGGGCTGGGGCTGTGTGTGTGAGGAGGGGCCTCTAGGGTGAGATGAAACAGAATCAGTTCCAAAGAGCGTCCTTGATGTGTCTCTGTCCCTCAGGAACCCATGAGTCCAGCCCCAAGACTCCCCTGGCAAGTGATGACCCCCGCAGGCTGGGTCAACTCGCATACCCCAGGCACACCATGAGAACGCCCATCCGTGCGAATAAAGTATCTCTCACCCATTATACTAAAATGTAAACTGACCAGTTTTTCCCCTGTACGGAATGTTAAAGTAGAATAACTATCGTGGAAGAATAAAAGCAGTAGCTGTCTCTGTGAGGTCTTTTCTTCCCCCCTTAAATGCTTGCGTGTGTAATTTCACCAAAATTGCTCGTACTTGAGGCTATGTAATAATTCTGCATTCTTGAGACTTCTCCCGTGCTTTTTTGCAAATCTCAACGTGAAAAGGAGACAAAGGAAAAATCCTGTTTTTAAATGAGTTTATGGATAATACAGTGTAAATGTGTTTGTAGATCTTTTTGACTCTGAGAATTTGTTTATAAGGGCCAGAGAAGACCCAGTAATGACAGATAAAAATACTCTCTATAGTTTTTTTAAACTATATCTTAATAACTAAGATTGTAGAGTGTTTTACAGCTGATTGGAAAAAAGAGACCGACATTTATTGAAAGCCAGTCATAGTTAAGCCGAGTGGTTTGGTAAAACCGCTAACGTGTCCACCGTGTCTCAGAGAGCTAGAGACCCCTCATCAGCTTCTAGCAAGAGGTCTGTGTGAGGAAGCCGAGAGAAAGAGGCTGCGCTGTAAAGCTGTTAAATTAAAATCCCAGACACGTAAACCAAGGAAACACGGGCTCTGAATTTTCTTTTTTTCCCCTGACATTTTGTATTTGTACTCACCTGGAATTACTAATCTGAGTCAAATATGAAATGAAACCACTTCCTAAGTCAATACATTTACCGTGTAAGGTTCGGACAGATGGGACTTTATACACCAATCATCCATCAGTCCGCGTGCTGTGCAAGGTCGAGGCAGAGTAACCACTCTGTGCGCTCTTGCGGCTTCAGAGTGTAAACGGCCCCTGACCAAGGTCACACAGGGATTCTCGGACATGCAGGATTGCACGGCCCGTGTGGGCAATGTTGGGCGTATCTGCTCAGCTCGAAGGTGTGGTACCCTGGCTAGATCAGTGATTTCGTCCCCTGGGACAAACCCAACAGAATGAATGCAGGTGAGGGCGGGCGCCCATAGACATGCGCGAGCATGTTCATCACAGCGGGATTTGAGTCAGGTCCAAGCAGAAGAATGGAGAAATCATACAGCAGAACAGCGTACAACAGCAGAAATGAACAAACCGCGGCAACGCACAGCAACTTGGCTGCATCTCCAAGCACACTGTGAAAGGAAAACGCGCACGCAGCGGTGCGAGCTGTGTGCTTCTGGTTACACAGAGTTCAGAAGCGCACAACCAACCCGTGGGGTTAGAGGTCAGGAGAGAAGGGGACCCTTGGGGAGGAAGGCAGATCGCACTGAGTACATTGTCCTTGATGCTCTGGCATCTGGGGCCTTGATCCTGGAGAGACTGCGGGCCCGGGGCAGGCGGGTTCCCAGAGATGGGGAACGACTCCGCTGCAAGCGCACCTTGACACACAAACCAAGCAGCTCAGTGCCCTCACTCTCAATTCTCCCCTTCATCAAAGTCCCGCCGGCCCTAACCCACCTCAGCACCAGGCAGCTAGAGCCCACCCGCGCAGCCCGAGCCCACCGAAATGACCCAAACTATCCAGTCCGGTCCCAAGCTTACCTAGTGCACCTACCGTGTCTTGCCTGTTCCTTCCTGCAAGAGCCCAAATAAAGGCCCCAGTAACGGCCCCCCTCTACCCTCTCCTCCTCTGCTTGCTGGCCCACGTGGGTGCTTCCCAGGTCCCACGCAATGTGGCGTGTCATCACGCGTGTCATCGTGTGCCTCCTGTCCCTGGAGATCTATGCCTATAAACCTCCTTCATGACACTCACGTCCATGTCAGCTGCCTTGGGAGGCCGGATTAGAGCAAATCCCCAGTTCATTTTTAACACAAGGGTTGTGAGTGGGAGTGGCTTTGGCAGGGGAGGGCTTCTGGGATGCTGCGTACCTGCCATGTCTTGATGGGTGGTTCCACAAGGGTATTGATTTTGGGATAATGCACTGATTTGTACACATAAATTGTGTGCTTTGCTGCATGTATGTTATCCTTTAACAGAAATCAGTACAAAGTAGCAAGAAAACACACTGAGCATCGGTAATTATTTCCTGCATTTCCCCGCCCACCCCTACCCTCCGACCAGGATTAGTCAGCTTGAAGCTGGTTGGGGTCCTTTGCCACCCAGCATCTCCACTCCCCTAACTGTGCTGGGTGTGCCCGAGGGACTCAGAGGACCTAGAGAGCCCCTGCCCTTCCTGTTCTCCTACACCCAGCCACACTCAAATCCCCAAGTCCAGGTAAGAAGCGTCCTGTCTACTCTCTTATGTGGGGACATGTCAGTCCTTGGTTCAAGGTGCCAAATGAAAATGGTGGTGCCGTATACATTTTTCCAGGATCCACAGCTAGGTTCGTAAAATCCACGGGAGGAGAAAATGCCAAACAGGCACCAATAGATGTTTGAGAACTAATCGTCCTTATGTTACTGACCTCAAGGTTAATTGTATTGTGGTTGGGGAACATGGTCTCTATATTACTTCAATGGTGACAAGTGTTTTGACACTTGCTTAATGACCCAGTATATGGTCAATTTTTGTAAATACCCCTGTATTCAGATACATCCTAAATCCATTAGGGGCAGTGTTCTCTCTATGACCATTAGCATGAGTGCACTAATCATTTTATCCAGCTCTGTACTTAGATTCACTACTCATGTTTAGCAAGATAATGACTAAATACCAGTATTTCTAGCAACAAACAGAAAATGAAATTAAAAGAAAAATACCACTTAAAATAGCATCAGAAAAATCAAGTACCTGGAAATATAGCTAATAAAATATACGCAAAACGTCTATACAAAGAAAAAATTTAACATCATTAACAGAAATTTTAAAAAATCTAACGAAATGAATATATCACGTTCATTGAGTGAAAGTCAATATTGTAATTATAGTCGTTTTTCTCTGACTGATTTTTTCAATCAATCCCAATACCAATAAATATTCCAAAGAAAGGGTGTGCGTTTGTGTGTGTGTATGCACTTGCGTGTGTGTGAAGCTAGGCAGGCTGAAACAGATCTTTGCAGGTACTGACATTTGATATATGACAGGTGACAAGGCATCAGTGGGAAGATGATAGAATACTTTTAAAAAGGTAGCAGCAATTGAATATATGCAAAAAAATTAAAGAAAGATGGATGAGGAGAGAGAAAGAAGGAGGGAGGGAGGTAGGGAAGAAAGAAAGAAAGAGAGAGAAAGAAAGAAAGGAAGGAAGGAAGGAAGGGGGAGGGAGGGAGGGAGGAGGAAGGAGGGAGGGAGGAAGGAAGGAAGGAAGGAAGAAAGAGGGA